ACAGCAGAAAAAAGCAAAGGGGGACACAAACTATGACAGCCATATATATATATATATATATACAGAGAGAGAGAGAGGCAGACAGATACATATAGAGACACAGATAGGGAGAGGTAAAGAGAGAGAGAGAGCAAGACCCACAAAGTGGCAGATAGGGAGACTGTGAAGGGGAGAGGCGAAAAAAACACACAGAGAGCAGACAAGACGCTAAGGAAAGAAAGACAAAGCCACAAACACAAGAGGCTGAAGAGGAAGACACAGAGAAGGAGACAGACATATATATATATATATACATATATTGATTTGTTTATTTATAGGGAGAGAGAGAGAAATACGGAGAGGTGGAAACAGAAGGCGAGACAGAGATAGAGAGGTTGAGAGAAGAAGAGGAAAAGACAGAAAGAAGAGAATTCGCTTAGTTCTTGCGGTGTACGTACAACTGGACATGCAGCGATCATCGCTAAGATCTCCGGTACCCTTGAGATTATTGGATCTGCAGTATTGCTTGCAAGAAGAATTAAAATGCCAGATATCAGAGACACCAATTCTTTAACGTCCCCTGCAGGGGGCGCGTACACCCCAGAGCATCGAGCAGCATAAGCCTGTACAGCCGCAAAAAAAGAATAGAGTAACTAACTAATTAAATATGCATATATATATATATATTAATAGCATAAAACAGAAACAAACGGAAACGATGACAAGCAAACAAAGAAAAAGAATTACGAATAAGCCAAATAAAATAACCAACGCCAAATGGAAAAAACACAGAAGACAAAAAACGCAAACACAATGCAGCAGCAGCAGCAGTAGCAGCAGTAACAGCAGCGCCAGTAGAAACAGCAGCAGTAGTAATAGCAGCACCAGCAGCAGCAATAGCAGCAGCAGCAGCAAGGATATCGACATAGACACCCAGCCCCGGACATATGCATGCATGGAAATCCTCCTATATGCCAAATGCATGCTCATCCACACAAATACATATATATGCATATATATATGTACTAATGCTGCAGCAGTTTATTCAACTAACCCGCAGATTTTTTAGCTGCACCTCCGTGGCGTAGGCCTTCTTAAGAAGGGACCCCATGCTGGCCTCTATGCTGCGTATGCATGTATAAAGAGACAGAGACAGCTATACATCTAAATATATGAATATTGGGAATAGAGGCAGATATAAAATACATAGACAGAGACAGAGATAGAGTTAGATGGAGATAGAGGTCTCTTGACAGTGTTGTTGTTGCATTTCGATTGTCTCTTTTTCATAATTACTACTACACCCAGAAAAGCAATTTCAGCATATTTTGCTGCTATAGTACTACGCACATATATCCTGCAGCAGCAGCTGCAGCAGCAGCTGCCGCAGCAGCTGCAGCAACACGGCCACGCGCTGCTGCTGTTGGTGCAAGCAAAGTCTCTGTTGCTGTTTCCGTTTCTGCTGCTTCTGCTGCTTCTGCTACTGCTACTTCTACTGCTTCTGTTTCTGCCGCTGCTGCTTCTGCTGCTGCTGCTTCTGCTGCTTCTACTGCTGCTTCTGCCGCTGCTTCTGCTGCTGCTGCGTCTGCTGCGTCTGCTGCTGCTGCTTACGCTTTGTTTTCATATTCAAGACGGTTTCTCTCTGCGTTGACAGTCTTATAGAGGTACTCCCAGTCCTGACTGTTGCGTTGCTGAGCCTACGAATACCCCAAGGCAAACAAAAGCAAGAAAAAAAATAAACATAAAAAAACAGAAACCGCTGTTAAGATAATCCCACAAGAGGTACCTGCAGCAACGGTAGCAAAAAATGCAGCAGCAAATGCGCCAGCAGCAGCAAGTGCAAGCGCAGCAGCAGCTGAATCAGCAGTAGCAGCAGCAGCTTCAGGTGCAGCAGCAACTACAGCAGCAGCAGTAGCGTACAGAAGATGGCGTTGAGTTTGTGCTGCGAGGGCGAGTGGAGCACCCTATGTACCCGCGAAGTGGAGGCAGAGAAGAACTGATCGTAGGGAGAAAGCAGAGAAAGAAGAGAATAAACAAGGTTTTAGGCAAATATAATGCAAAATAATATGTATTTGTATTAAATACAAATAGCATGCGCAAATAAAGACAGAAACAAACCCTAAAAATAGCATTAAATTCTAATCACAAGCCCTAAAAACAAAATTAACAACGCAACAAACGACAAAAGATACCCGCAGATACGATTCTCCACGATTAGAAACAAAACAAAGAGAGGAAGGAAAGGAGACAATATAAAACAAGCAGGAAGAGAAGCAGAAGGGACAAAAGAAGAAACAAAGAAACAAACAGAAACAGAGAAAGAAAGAGATAAACACGCAGCAAGACGAGGCACACAGCAGCAGAGAGAGAGCTAGACCAAGCAGTAAATAAAGAAACAAGCAGATGCAAAAAGAAGTCTACAAAACAAAGCGCAAAGCAGGAAAGAGAGGCGGAAAAGGACGAAGGAACATGAAGGGATAGAGGAAGTAAAGCTGCATGTACCCCTCCTGCGGCTTCTCGGCTGTCTTGGCAGCTCGAGCCCTTTTGTAGAAAGCGCTGCAAAGCGCATCATCTTGTCTGGCTAGCTGCATAGACACCCCAACAAAGAGAGCACAGCAGGAAGGTATTTGCTATTATTGCTGTTTGTAGTTTTGTCTCCTCTAGGAGTACAAGCAGGTGATGGGAGAGGCGGGCTAGCTAGGCGAGGCGACGGTGGGGTTGTTGTCGCGCTGAGTGTTTACGTTTGCTGAACCCTAAACCCTAAACCCTAAACCCTCGAGCTGAGATCAACTGCCCCTTTCGCCTCACCATTTCGGGTCATCCGCTGGCATGCACGAAGCCTGAAGCCAGCAGTTTTCAGGGCCTTAAATAAATGATTGAAATATGGAAAGAAGAAACCCAAATTTGCCTCTAGGATGTCCTTTGGGGTGTATATACAGCTCGATTGATGCAGCTGGTTTTGAGGTACAGCGCAGCAGGCCGCAGGAAGCGGGAGAGTAGAGGGAGGGAGAAGAATAAATATGCTATTTTAGAAGATAAAATTATAAAAACCGAGGAAAAGAAGAAGAAACGCAAATTGTTTCTGCTTTTATCCGTGTCGCCTCCGCCTGAAAATTGAACAAACCATTGGCCTTACCCGCCCGATGTGTTGTGATGCTTGCAGAGTCAGCTGCGGGAAGGCGTCAATTTTGTCCGTATAAATGCATTTAAGTGAGTTTTTAAATCAAATATGCATGCAAGTATCCTTTTTTAATTATTAAAAACAAAAAAAATATTTTTAAAACTCCTTGGGGCCCCGCCTTCGCCTCCCTCGCAGGCGTACTGCATCGCCAACTGTCTCGATGGTCTCTGTTCCTTCTCCCATGTTCTCTTCTTCGTTCCCCTTGCACAATAAGAAAGAAATTCTGAAGCCACAGTCCTTTTTAATTATTCTTTTCTCCTAACAAAGACTCGCGATAGCCGCTGCAACGATAAGCAGACAGCAGCTCTTACACTGTAGCAGGAGAAGAGACAGAAGACATTTAGTATGGCTGCACGATGTAGACCCTAGAACGGTGTATAGTACTTTTTAAGTGATGTTCAATGCTTCATCTCTTCAGGTGAGGCTTATCCTATGTGTTTATTATCTCTTTACTGCAGCAGGAAGAGAGACAGCACAGAGCAGTAAAGGGGTTGGTTTGCTAGGTTTAGGCCTGTAGAGGCCCCTGTTGAGGGCTCCCACAAAGAGGGCCCCTTTTAGAGACCCCCATATGGCTTTAGCAGCCCCTTTCCGGGGCTCTCATATGGCTTTAGGCGCCCCTATTGGGGCCTACTTGGGGTCCCCGTAGGGCTTTGGGGTCCCCAATAGGCCCATTGGGGCCTATTGGCGACCCCCATATGGCTTCAGGGGCCACTTTTGGGGGATCCCATAAAGGGGGCCTCTTTATCTATTGGGACCCCTATTGGGGGCCCCCATAAAGGAGGTCCCATAAGTTATTGAGGCCCCTATTTGGGGAACCCATGAAAGGGGCCCCATAAGCTCTAGTTCTAGTCTGAGAGTAGTTGAACGAACCCCTTTGGTGCTGTCTCCTGTTTCTTCTTTTGTTGAAATAAACAAAAAATAGACATAGCATTGCAGGCAGCAACCTTGGCGTATCTTCAGGGGCCTTTGTTCCCGGTGCACGTCTTCAGTGTCTTTGCTTATTCTCTTGGAACTCTAACAGCAAGAGGCTAAGAAATGCCTTCTCTATTGCAACACCTATTTAAATGGAAAGTCTACATATATGTATATGATTAAATATGTATATATGTATGCATGTATATCGACGTCCACATATATATATATATATATATATATACATATGCTGCCTTTGTTAGGATATCACGTAAATAGGCTCATG